TAAAAACGGGAATATGATTTTAACCTGTTTACAGCTATTTATCAGCCAAACTGGCTCAATTAATTCCAAATTCCGACAAATATTAGTGGATTTTTCGGTGAGTAAAATACAAAATTCGACGTTATATTCGCACAAATCCTGCGCACGTAACTCAATGTGATTAGGATTAGGATTTACATATTTATCCCGGGGGAGAGGAAAGCCGATAAGACGGCTTATCCATATGGCGAACCACGGCCTCTCGTCCGGTTACCATTCCAAGTCGGGTATGGGATTAGTTATAATGTTTTGTTTTCGGAAGCATGGACTTGGTGGTGGAGGAAGAAGTAACCGACCAGCGGTTACGTGAACTACCCAACGACGGCGAGGAGTCCAGCAATCCTCTCGCACATAATCATCCCTGCATGAGATTCGAACCTGCGAACCCACACAGAGTAATTAGAGGTGCGGTGGCGAGCGTATTCCTAACGCTTAGCCCGTTGAGCCACACCGCCGCGCCAGTTTGGTAGGATAAGAAGGCTTACCACTTGTTGTCTAATTGAACACCGAAATTACTAGCGGCAGTGCTCAATGCATCTGAATCAATTATGCATTTGGATTCCAAACATCAATTTCTTAATATATATATGTGATATATCTCTTTTTCGATCTGAAATGATGTGCACTATTTAATGATGCTCAAAGACTATTGTTCTAACCCGTCTGCCATGCACACTTGAAATAATAATTACACAGTATCGGAATCGGCAATAGCGTTCGTTTTCAAATATCGGCGTATTGGTATCGGCGTTTTGGTTGGTATCGGTATCGGCGACAGAAGTGGTATCGGTACATCTCTAGTTAGTAGACGAAGAAAAGTGGTCGTGCACAAATTAATCAAGTGTGTTAAATCAATGACATTAAACAACATGATAGGCAACTCTGACGTCACTCCATAAGACTACACGCGAAAGATTGTATTTCATGATACGCTTCAATGCACATAGTTATCGTCGCCTTTCGAGACCGTTTCCCGTTCGCTTTTGCTACTCGGCGCCTTCTTTACGTGTAGCATCTGCCTTTTTGCGCCTGTGACGAAAGAAAATAATCATTAAATCCAAGAAGTTTTGCTCACTTGGAAAGCTGGAATGGCAGACAAGCTAAGCAGAGTAATTCTGGACATCATAGACGTTTTTATATTATCAGAGAAGATTACAAACGAGATAGTGTAAAGATTTGTGTGGAACATTTTGCAGATAATGACAAAATTCAAAGTTACTAGTTTTAATGTTTGTACTTAAACATTGAAATTTTATTTAAAGAGGGTTTCTTACAAAACAGCAAGACTGTTTATACTTCTCTTAGCTGTGCTGTGATACAATTCCATAACACAAAGTTTGCACCCATCGAATTTGCTTTAGTAGGTGAGTTTATTAGACATATTACATATTCATTTTATCGTAGTTAACATTGATGGTACATAATGCCTCGTAGATATGTTTGTGTCTAAATTTAGGAATTTAGCTCATAGCCCACTAATTAATATTATCGTCTATGCAGGAGGTTGCAGGGCTGAATTCAACTTGCAGCCTTACCGATCACCTGATGATGCTCATTTAGTTTGGCTCGAGCAAGTCTTTTTGAAAGACTTGTATGAATAGAAACTACCTATATCTTTTGCCTTCCTCCGATTTTAGAAGACAAATTTAATCTGAGGAATTTTGCATATAGTTCTCATTGATTGTTGGCTGTTTATATTTTCTATTAATTGTGAATTCTGATTATAACAAAATGTTAAAAAAATTTTTACGTAATTTACTGGCACCTTTTCTTGTCAATACTCCAAGCTGAGGTAATAAACAAGACAATACATTCATGTCACCTGGAAGCAAAATATGCACACTAATTAAAAGTTTGACACATTGAGATAATACATCGCGACAGCAAATACAAGTCATACAATATGCCGCATCGCATTTTGGAAATTGTAAAAAGGGCCGCAAACAGTTTTTGATTATGTATACTTAAAAGATATTTTTAAGATAGTTTTAGTTTGTGACATATATTGTGATGCAATTAAACAGTTGGATTAAGTTCTATTATTTTCTCTAATTTCAAATGCAATTACATATTAATATTTGCATTCCACTATTATTGCAAGTTACTGTATTTATTACAAAAAAATCATAAAATTCTATGAACAACCATCAAAATCATTTTTGAACAAGCTTTGGATAAGAAAAGAATGATACATACACTAAGAATGACTTAATCTAAATATATGGACCTAAAATTAACAAAAATACTGTAGTATAAACTCAATGTTTACTCAATTACATTTGTCCTGACGTTTGACAACTTTTTTGTGTCACCAGCATACTAAGGCCAGGCTAAAATGATTTTATAGTACCAACTCTTATAGTAACTAACGAGGTCACATGATCATGGGTTAATATGGATCTGCGAGAATGTTTAATTAATTCCAGTAATGCAAGAAAGCGTATAGATCAGTAAACAAACAAATGACAGATTTTTTTGACAAGAAATTTTGCGCCACATTGCGTGGCATTGAATTGCTTGAATTATTGGTGATATTGATTTTTAGTAAACTAAGTCGTTGTATAATTATATTAATATACAAACACATGGAAATTTTCTGTTCGAAGTTGGTCTTTGAATTTGTCATATTGACTGCTGAGTTTATTGTGTTATTTCATTGTACTGATGGAAATATGACAAAACAAAAACAATGTGCTTCAGAATTTTGAGATATGCAGAAATATTGTAACTCCCATTTTTCTTCGAAAATGCCACCTTCTTCATGTACTTTGCATTTAATTTATCCACTCAAATGTTTTATTCAAGTATTCTTTTGCTAGCTTGATGTGTATATTCTTAATTGGGTCAAAATGTGAACAAAAAAATAATAATTTTCCAAAACTACTTTCAGTAAATTGCTTTTTGCGTGAATAATCAATTTCACTTCAAAAAATTGGAAAAATCTTTTACATTTAGATTAAAAAAACTTTTAAAAAAACTATTACAATTATTGTTTAGCGTTCGAGGGCCGCACTGGAAGTTCTCTGGGGCCGCGAGTTTGACATCCCTGGTCTATATTGAAGTTGTCCAAAATATTGAACAGTATTTTATCATGAATCATGATTATACCCTTCCCTGAATTTCTTCTATAGTACTAACAAAATTTTATGGAACCAATTCTAACATGGTGTAGTGAGTGACCCATAATCTACATTTCCAAAGCTGTTTTCAGTATGTCTGGCGTGTTTTGTGCCTTTTTACAAATAAGACCCATACACAACTCTACCGGAGGGTCAAATGTCTTTGCATGCCTCCATAGGTTGTTCTTCTATTGCAAACACTTATGGAGTACTCTAATTGTATTTCTTGGAATTTCGCCAGACTTCTGATATCTCCCCGTCTGCTACAGTTGTCCTGTGAATGAATAATGGGAAATTGAGGTTAGACGAATAGTTGAAAGTTTTGCTCTATGTCGACTTAATTTCTTGATTGATATTCTTACTATTTTTGCTATTGCCTCTTGTGCTACAGGAATCTCACAATGCTTGTACAGATTTGTCCACAACATTCACGTCTGAAGAAAGAGAGGAGATTTATTAATTTTCGTCAAGAATATTTAAAGCAGTCTATATGATTTAAAATGGAAAAGTTAATAAATCCAATATCTCATGTTAAATGTAAAAAATGTTTTACTTAATTTGGTATATAAACCAACTAATGAAGGGGTTTAGTCCGAAAATTACAGGCATTCGTGGCTTCATATACTTGAGAGATCATACTATACAATATAGACCGGTATGGGTGAAATGTTAGGTGAACTTGTTAACCCTTTGAATCAATACGCAAATAAAAGTGATTGAGCAATAGTATGTTACGGCAATGCGTATATATCCCCATTGGTTAGAAAAATCTAAATGGAGGTACATGAACTATTTGAAACCATAAGTGGTAAGTAAATATGCAATTTCGGCAAATGGGCAACTACGTACCGTACTGAATTAATAACTTTGTAGTATTTGAAAAAGCTGGCTTTCCCACATGCACTTAATAGTGCGATGCCCGGGTGTGATATACAACAATAGTATTTATCTTACCTTTTTCCGATTTCTTTTTAACTCAACTTTCCAAAATATCATTAAAATCGACAACAACTGTCAAAGCAGGCACGAACACCATTCGTGCTATGCCTTGAAAACAGCACACATCCGCTCGTTCTCGTCTCGTCAAGTATGTGCATTGGAGCGTGTTATCGAATACGATCTTCGGCCAAAAATGCCGGAGTTGCGCATCATGTTGTTTAATGTCATTGGTTAAATCGTAAATATATACGTTAAATCAATTGCACGAGTCTGACAAGAGAGATGTACTTCGAGTTCGAGAATAACGAGCGAGAAACGACCTCGACTTGCGACAGCGAATGGAACAAGTTGTTTACAGCAACGATAGCGTCACAATGGTGTCTACCATATCCATGCGGGTTGTTTTCCTCGATCTGTGTTAATGGACAGGAATCCAAATTAATCGCGTCCGGGTTTGCAGGGAGTTCGTCTTCATTAATGTTCATAACATTAAGATGTCTCTAGTTCAGCGCAAATGGCAATATAACCCGGGCGCGTATTTTCACGTTTTTAAATTTTCTTTAAGTTATGCCCGTCCTCCAGGTCCTCTGTGTTTTGTGTTTGTTCGTTTGTTATTGTTTTGTTTTATACCAGAGCGACCGAAATGAAAATTGATTGATTGATAACTTCATTTACTTCAAAGACTGGTATTCATGGGTGGTAATACTTATGGGAACAAAATTCCAAGTTTCCATAGAGGCGTAGACAGAAAGATGCGAATATCAGTGGGTGCAAATGTACGCGGGTGCAATTGCTGAATTGTGCGTGGGTATAAATGTACACGGGTGCAATTGCTGAATTGTGCGTGGGTGTAAATGTACGCGGGTGCAAGCTATGGGTGAAGATAATTAATTGAATCCCCTCTTGCTGCTGTACCGTGTAGTCATATTTTTAATTTTGGTTGGGCGCTCTTGGCTTCACTTGGAGCATACTAAATTAGAAATACATATCAGTATATTTAAAAGCACCTTTGTCGGTCTGTAGACTACCATTTATATACTGATATACTTTTGTATAATGTTTAATCATCTGTCAGTCTGTAGATTGTATATTAGTACAGTAGAACAGGTGTTGAAAGCTTGCGATTACTGGATCACAGAGCATTATGACTGACCTTCCTAAATGTGGTTTTTGTAAGAAAAAGTTTGATGCCGTGTCTCAAGGTGCAACAAATCGTTCCCCAATTTTATTGAGATGTGGACATACATTCTGCAAACACTGTGTTTCAAAATGGGCTAAAGGTAAACAAGAAGTTGAGTGTTTTCAGTGCAAAGCGAAAACCCCTTGTAGGGATGGATTGCAGGGTGTGCAACATCTCTGGCCAAATATGTACATCGCTGGTGTGTTGTCTTGCATTCACAAGTTCCCTTTATTTTCTTATCGTTTTCTGAACTTTGATCACATCACCGAAAATCCGGCACGTTCCAGCCAGAGGGCAATGGGACAACGCTGCTCTGAATGTATAAACTCTCAAGCAACATGTCGCTGCATACATTGCCAAGTAAATATGTGTAAGAAATGTTTTGGTTTGGTTCACAGTCACTCAAGATTCTTGAGGCAGCATCACAGTATTCCATTGCGACCCAGTTTGATCACAACAGAATGTCCAATTCATTGTCGCCTTTTAGAGTTCTTCTGTGAAGAAGATGAAATACCAATATGTCCTGAATGCATGATCAGTGATCATCATAAAGGCCATGGGGTGGTGCGGATGTTGGACAAGTATAAAAGTTTAGAAGAAGAACTGAAAACTGCACAAACCCAAACATCATCTGCTTTAACACATACTGAAAAAGTTAAGTCTATGCTCAAGCTTGAACTTGAAAATGTTCAATATGATGCTTACCAACAAGCTGATTACATTCACCAATGCTTTCAGGATTGTCTTGGTACTTTGCAAGCTCGTTTTCTTGGACTTCTCAGAGAATTGCAAACATGTGCAGAAAAAGGCTGTGATGATATTCTAGAATTGTTGAGAGAGGTTGAAGCAAGAGAACTTCCGATTAGAGAAGCTCATGCTGATGTTGAACTCGTTCTCTCAAATGAAACTTGTCGACAAGTTGTAGTGAATCCTAATAAGATTCTCGCAGTATTGAGAACATCAAAGTATCTTCCATTTACTGTTGAAACACAGCGCTCGGATGATTGTGACGGAAATAATAACAAAGAGAAACAAAATGGCTATGATCAACGTTTCTTATTTTCTTTAAATCCCGATATTCCATTTAATATAGAACAGCTGGGGGAAATTGGAATCACAAATAATATTAAATATAAACTACGAATGCTTCAGGATTGCCCTGGTTTGTTGGATATTCCCGTACAAGGCTACCTCGTTGAAGATGATAAAGAGCAGAGAGTTAAACCAACTACACAACTTCTAAGGCATCTACAAGAACCACATGGGAAGTGTCAGGAGCTTGTTCATGTAACCTTTATGGAAAATCCATCAAATTTCTGTGTACAGAGATGGGAAGACAAATCTCATCTCGATGCCATTCAAAGATGTCTCAAAGTTTATAAGACAAGGAAGCCATTGGTAGATGAAATTCTCACAAGAGTTGGAGTGGGAGATAGTTGTGTTGCTTTTTATGAACCTGCCCGTAGCTGGTACAGAGGTCGCATCACAAAAATTTTGAAACCTTGTGAAGACGAAAATGGTGATATGGAACAACCTGGAGAAGAAAATGATAATGCTTCCAAGGAAATTCTTATGCCTAAAGAAACAGCTGGTCCTCCAGATATTGTCGAAGTACTATATATTGATTATGGAAATACAGCAAGAACAAAAGTTTCTTGTCTTCGTTGTTTGCCGGATAAACTAAAATCTATACCTGATTTGTCTATACCCTGTGCTATGAATAATATCAGTCCTATCGATGAAAATCTGGGATGGGGCCAAGATGTTATCAGATATTTCTCTAAATTGATCGGTGATCGTCCTCTGCTCATGACAACCGTGAAACGAGAGAAAGGCTACAGAATGGTCGACCTCCACAAACCTGCTGCTGATGAAATTGATGCTGATGTACCTACTTCTGTCAGGGATGCATTGGTGTTTCTTGGTTTAGCACGGTAAGTACATCATTGATTTTAATTAAATGCACTCTCATTCTTTTCTGTTTCGGAGATGCTATAAAAGTTGTTTTGAATCACTTGAATAACCGAATATAAAACCGCTACCATTGTTTGTTTAAAAAGTTAAGAGTATAAAATGATCGAAGACCTCTATCGAAACATAGAATCTAAATATGCTTATGTGGTTTCATTGTTGCGTAGAAGTCAGAATTTGAGTTCGAATAATAAGATACCGGTATTCATAATTTCATCTATGAATGTGGTGACCCCTAATCCTACAAAATACATGTTAACCATTTAGCAAAACAAGATTTGTTTTTTAGATTGAATGTTGTACCTCTACTATCTCTGGACAATACTGCCGTAACCACCAGAAAGTTTTTAACACCATCTCTTTTGCCAGTCTCTACATTTATCAGTGTAGTTATATCAGAATTTCAATCACTCAATAGGTGAGTAGTTTACACAGATTTATTGAGACGTGGTGGATTGTTTGTTACTCATTTTGTTGGATATGCAAGATGAGCAAGGTTAAAGAATAGGGAGTTCACAATGCAATAGAACCCACTTATTGATGCGAGTTCTTCATTATCTGGCCAATTTAATTTCAGTAATTCTTGATTTTCGAAAGTTCATTTTCTCTCAACTCAATGTAATTCAGTTGAAGAGGTACCGGTATTTAAATTTAGAAAATTAATGTATTGTTATACGAAACAATTTCTCAAAAGTTTATCCATATTTAACAGCTTGTAGTTATCATCACCACCCACCTTATGATCATAAACCCCATTTACTGTAATTCAGATTTTGCGTGCAACAAATGGATAGCAACATGTCATATCTTACTCAGTTGATGACGAAGATTCAGTCATGGGTACGGCGAAAGTTGTCTCCTGAAAAACGAGCATCTGCTTTTGCAAGGAGTTTGCATGATTTACAAATCTTGTGTCCTATAGAGGAAATGGTATGCTATGCCAAGTAATACCTAATAAATTAACATGATTAGTGCTTGAAATGTACTGCATAGAAAATAATAGATACTGTTGTGAACTGTTCAAACTCTTTTTTTACATCCGCCAAAAACTTCTGTATTTTGTTGTGCGTACACTAGAGTATAAATACTAGGAGTTACATATTATTTATCCCATATTTTTATGTTTGGTAACCTTTTGATGTAAGACGTTCAAAAACTGGGGTTGGCCAACTCTCATGTTTTCAGAATCTTGGTCAAATTTTCTGTCAACACAGAGTTGTTTATTGCGTAATATCTAGTTGAATTAAAGATATATTCGACATTCATTGTTCTTGCCTTAGAGACCTTTATATTAATATTTGAAAACCATTTTAGTATAAGGATGCAAGCCATTTTAGTCTTTTTTATTCCAACTTGAGTATAGCGAATATCCTAAAGCTGTCTGTAAATAATGTTTCATCCCATACCAGTTAGTTGTCTTACACTGGCATTCTTGAAAAATTTTATACAGTAGAAGGTTTTTGTTTCCGAATACAGGCATGGAATTCATTGGAACTGTAATTATGTAATCCGGATTTGTACTTGGAAAAACTCTTGAATACTTGGTAAAAATTCAATAAATTCAAAAATCATCCTTATTACCCACTAAGGCAGGATTGGTGAACTGTTGCTTACAAAGTTGAATATTGCAATACTATACTAACATTTCAGTAATGAAAATAGTGTTATGAAGGCCAGAGTTGATTAGATCTAACAATAAGTGAATCACTAGTCCAGTATACGACAGTCCCAGTATACGGCTATGACATGACAGTACAATTCGCGACTCGCGAAAGCGCCTAGCAAATGTATAAAAAATTGATGTAGTTTGATATAAATGATATTACAATTCTGTTAGATTCATTTCTTGCAATGACTGACAGTGGTTTCCAATCAATCAGGAATTAAAATTTTTAAAAAATCTGTCACCTACAAACATTATTATTTGTGATACCTCTGACAATATCGAGTTTGAGTTGCATTAAACTATATTTTAAATAAAAACTGAAAAAGCAACATGAACTTGGTACGAAACAATCACCTATTTAAAGTAGTGCTACTGTAGTCGAATGATAGTCTACAATCTTGCCAAACGCAATAAGGCTTTTATACCAAATTCAAAATACAAATTAATTATGTATGTATATTTATTTGACTCAAAATGTAACAGTATCTGCGTAATAATTAGAATTCAATATCACTGCGCTCATTAGAAATTATGGCCCTCTGTTAACTTCTGTTGAGACAATGTGGCCTGCAAGTCAAAACACTTGCCCACACCTGCTCCAGTCATTAATTAGGAAATATTTCGATCTTGTTGCAATTTTGCACCTTAATATCTTGTGGATGAGCATTTTGATGGATTTGAGAGAAATCCACAGTCTACTTCACTGCATGATATTACTACAAAAGAATTCCAAAATTATTTTCAGGTTTGTCTTGCACAATACAGTGACTCAAAATGGTATCGGGCTCAAGTAATCAAGGTTACCAAACAGCAGACAGTGGATGTTTTATATGTTGATTATGGTGATACAAGAACCGTCCACTTCTCAAAGTTGTTAAAAATTCCAGAATGTTTCACCAGGCTTCCAGTCCAAGTAAAAAAAAAGTTAATTTATAAGAGTTTTTATTAGATTAGCTAAGTCGTATCAAAATAATATCTAACAGAGTAACAGTTCTAATATTGTACTGATGGCGTATTTATGACAAAATATACCATCTTTTTCTCTGTTTTCAAAATTAGGCTTTATCCTGTCAATTATTTGATGTATCTCCTTTGCCTGATGAAGATGACTTTTCTGAAATTGCCTGCAAAAGATTTGCTGAATTATGTGCACAATCACAAATGCTATTGGAAGTTAGGTAAAAAAAAGATATTGAAAAACATTTTATCATTTTTTCCGTTTCATTAAGAGCAAGTGTGAAAAGCAAGCTATCTGAAAAAAAAATACTTTTTCAAGATGTGAGCAACAGCTCTAGTGGTAGATTCGGAAGATTAACTATCGAAGCATCAGTTATTTTAGCTACATCTAGAATATTGATTTATAAATTGTAAATCGAATTCATGGTAATACCCACATTCAGGACCAGTAGTTGTGAAGAAACAATAATGCTATGAAATTGTAAATGTTCATAGGCTCATAGCACCACACTCTGTTTGTATATCTTTACTTGGGTACAATATATTATGGTACTTTTGTTTTAGTATTAGGTTTCTCTAATCATATGTTTTCAATTTTAATGAAGGGCTGTTAGAAAAGGGATTTATTATGTCGATTTGTATGATTACACTGATGAAGATCCAAGTGTCCTATCAATCAGTGATAGATTGTATAGAGAAGGTCACATAGTACGAAATAATAATATGGATGATGACAAAGCTCTGTCTACAAAGAAGCAAGGTCCTTATTTTCCTTATTTTTTTTAATCTATTTCAGTCATAAATACCTGTGAATAATGATATCTAATTTTTTCCATAATACTATATTCCTAGTTTTTTAGGGCGCTCCTGAAGTATGAGTACCAATATGGAGTTAACTAATTTTGTTCGCCTATTTCACATCAATTTGAGTAAAACCTATGGATAGGGGGATATTCACATGGCTAATACTGACAGCCCCCATGTTCATAATAGAACTAAAGGAAAATCGGAATAAAAGTCTAGTTTTTCTAACTATTTTTTTAAGGCGCTCCTGAAGTGTGAGTACCAATATAGAGTTAACTAATTTTGTTCGCCTATTTCACATCAATTTGTGTAAAACCTATGGATAGGGGGATATTCACATGGCTAATACTGACAGCCCCCATGTTCGTAATAGAACTAAAGGAAAATTGGAATAAAAGTCTGGCCTGACTCTATTCTGGTATCTTTTTTAAATTGGTAAGGACGATACAAACTATTTTTCCGCAGGTGCTGATGTTTCGCAGCCAGCAACTCAAGAAATGGAACTTGATAACAATCTTGGCGTGACAGAATTATTGGAAATTATCCAAGTACCTGAAGTAAAAAATGATCAGAACATGAAAAGCAAATCTCGTGTAACGAACGCAATTGGTCCTAATCTATTCTATGTGCAGACTGAGGTTCAAATGCAAGAATTGAATAAGATGATGTTACTTTTGCAGGAAGATATGAATGAGATTGTAGATTTCACTGCAGATGGTGGGTCATAGTTTAGTTTCATCATGATGAACTAATGTAAATGTTTTCGTAAAACCACAGTGATTGTTTGCCCTGTATGATTGATTATTCGGTATTTTTGCCATCTAAAACAGTATTGATTGTATGAAGTCGTTTTTGGTAATGATAAAATCTGATTTTTTATGTGTTGCATACGTGATAAGTAACTATTGAATAAAAAGAGACTTTCTTTATTTGCACCCCTGTTTCTGATCATAATTGATTTATTTCTTTATTTCAGATTTTGATCCAATGTTCAACGCTGGTGATAATTTTAGTGTAGGAGATTGCTGCGTGGTGAGATCAAAAATGGAGAAACGATGGTGTAGAGGTCAAATACAGGCTTCAGAGGTAAAGATTCGAAAATTTAAATTTAATTCCAACTTTCACTACACCTCTGGAAAAAATGCAGTGTGTTCAAAAGAGTAGTAGTTCTTATCTGACTTAGACAATAAGTAAATACACAACTCATGAGAAACAACTGATATCTTAGATACCTATGCTAGATCAGAATAGATAATTGGATCATGTCTCATACCCCATTTGTCATTTTATTCATTAAAGTTTTACTGTATGCCTGTATGGATATTTGAAACATGGCAAAAGTTATATTTTATAATTTATATTGTTTGCTTCTGGCCATTTACCACTCGTCAAAAAAATGTTAATTCCTGATCTTATTTGGTTTCACAGCTTGGACAGGAATGTAAAGTACTTCTGACTGATTATGGATGGGTGGAAACTTGGCCTATGTGTGATTTGAAAAGACCTAAAAGAGATTATGATAACACGAATCAGTTTATAACAAAATGTTCCTTGGGATCAGTTCAACCAGCTGGTGGAAGCACAAAGTGGACCTCAACCGCTGTGTCTTTGTTTCGGGTACGAATACATATTATTATTCTAATTCTCTGGAACAAATGTGTGATAATTTTAAATATTTATTTCATAATTATTAATGTGTCTCTTGGGAAAAGGTGGTATGCTTAACAGTAGGCTTGAATATGTATACATTCCATATCTTCATAGCAGCTTAAAAACTTAAAACTAACTTGTTGCACGTCCTCAAAAACTTGGTTTCTTTTTTATCTTTTAGCGTTAAAATTTTTTCTGTTTTGTCAAGATATATTTCCCAACCAGTTTATACAGAGGAGTAGAATACAACAAAACTAATTTAAGATGAGGTTTTTTCCTACAACAGCAGTCTTACTACACTCCTGAGTTAGACATATGAATAAAAAAATCTTCTTTTAATAGACTAGTGTATTGCAGTGGGGTTTGCTCATTGTGCCAAGCATTAGGACTACACTTACCATTGTATCTTTGATTATTACCCTGCGTGTATCTGCAGATATGAATCGCACCGGGAATGATTTAGTGGGAAAGGATTGTTAGACTCCCCTTTCCAACATAGGCTGGTTCATTCGTCATGAACTGGATGAGTCGTTTTTCCCTTACCCCTGGTATAAATATGAAAATCATATCTAATTACATTAAATCGTATGCTTCCTGTAACACGAAATGTTATATAAAACTTTATGAAATATTTTATCAAGGAACTGGTGATGGGCGAGGAATGCTTATTGGAATTGATGCCGAAGGATGAAATTATTGAAAGCAGTGACACACTTCCTGTTGAAATTTGGATTAAGAATAAACATCAAGCTGATTCCAGTGAAATTGTTGATTATTTGAAGACTTCCAGATTACTTGAATTAGAGGGTTTAGCTCTTCCAGTGAGAAATCGCAGACAGCAAAAAGATAGTGGGTATGTAAGTTTTGGTTATTGTTAACTAATATGAGTTTCACATTAGCTTAAATTCAACCATGAAATATGTTGATATGTACATTTCTCAGAACACACAGAAAAAGAGAACATATTTATTACTAACAGTTGGGGTTACATAAAACTAACTACCTTTTCTTGCTTTATGCCTTTGTGCAGGTAGATCCGTATGCGTATAACGCAAGGATGCTATGGCAGGAGTGAAAATAACTATTCTATTTAATTCAAGAGTCTTGTTGCAAACTTACACAAATATATTTCTGTAACGTTTCGTCTGACCGAGTTCAGAGTTCTTCAGACAAGCATTTTATAACTATGACAAGAAACGCAATTGCATGCACATACATAGTAGTATAAATTGTTGGGCCTGTTTCTGATAGACAAAAATAACTAAGATTGGGACAGAGCCAGAGCCCAAGTCAGTAGCTTTGCCATAAAATCTTTCTTGAGGTTTACTTGGCAACAATCCCAATAAATATCTTTCTCAATCACTTCGTGAATGCGTCAACTTGTTAAATTTTTCACATTCCGCAAAATTGGAATAACAGGAATCATGTTTCACAAATTATGTCTTGAAATAATTCTATTTGAGGAGATCGAATGTTTTGAATAAATTGGATGGAATATGATCAAGTCACTCAAAAGTCAGAACTATTCCTTTCCTTCCTTGACATTGAATGACATATTGTGAATTGAAGGCATATTCTCGTATGCTTCTAAAACTTAGTGAAGGAGAATAATAAAAATGTAGTAGAGCATTTTTCTAGAAGAATAAAGCACTTTCTATTACATATCCATATCTGAAGTTTCGTATTTTGGGGCTGGCCTGGCAAATTAAGTCCTGCATCCTGTGAAAATAAGGATACCAAGTTTTCTCCTTATTTCATTTTCAATGACTCGTACTAAGCTTTTTTTGTTTACAACAAGATTTATGTATTGTGTTGTAAAAATGATTGTCAACTCTATGTAATAAATTGTGTAATACTAAATTTGCTAAAAAGAGGAAGCTTTTTCAATCAGGATATCCAAGACCTACCCACCAGTTTCACCGTTTTTAGAAAAATTGGGAAATTGTTATTTCGAATATGTTATTTTATGGTGCTCAATTTTTTCCTTATGATTGCGGATTATATACGAGGTGCGGCTAAAAAGAAACGGGACTGACGTCACAGATTGCGCAACACGATTAACCATCGGTGATCAACACTTTTGCAGTGTGGCGTAATATGTGTTCTTTGTTTAACAGCTGTTTTGACACAATATCGCAATTATTTTTGCTTTTCAGGATTCATAAGTGAATGTGATAAATTTCTTGTTGAAAAAAAAATGCTGTGCGAGGTCTGATGGAGTTTTTTGGTGATAGGGGGTTCAATTAAAGAATGACGACTAAGCAAAGAATTAACATTAAATTTTGTGTCAAACTTGGAAAAATGGCGACTGAGACTTTGCAGATGTTGCGTGATGTTTATGGAGATTCTTCCATGTCCAGAACAAGAGTTTTTGAATGGCACAAGCGATTTGTGGAAGGCAGGGAGGATGATCCGAGGTCAGGGAGGCCTTGCACTTCCACTACTGATATCAACATCGAAAAGGTTTGGCAGTTGGTTCGCAGTGACCGTCGCTTAACAATTCGCGTCATTGCCAACGAAATTGGGATTGACAAAGAAACGGTCCGCACCATTTTGGTTGACACTTTGGGAATGCGAAAGGTGTGTGCCAAAATGATGCCAAAGGCTCTTGAGTTGACTGAGGAGCAGAAAGCTCAACGATTGAATGCATGCCGAGTTGACATGCATTTTTCCCAGTTTGACACAAAATTTAATGTTAATTCTTTGCTCAATCGTCATTCTGCAATTGAACCTCCTATCGCCGAAAAAACTCAATCAGACCTCGCACAGCATTTTTTTTTCAACAAGAAATTTATCACATTCACTTATGGATCCTAAAAAGCAAAAATAATTGCGATATTGTGTCAAAACAGCTGTTAAACAAAGAACACATATTACGCCACACTGCAAAAGTGTTGATTACCGATGGTTAATCGTGTTGCGCAATCTGTGACGTCAGTCCCGTTTCTTTTTAGCCGCACCTCGTATTGCTGTTAGACATAAAAGTTTTCCAGGATGCCTTCATTTTTTTATCCCCAAAGCAACTTGCCATAGCAACAAACATGATATTTACTTAGAACTAGAAGTAAACTAAAGCTTTACCACTCATATAAATTGACAAATAATTTCCCTTCCCAAAAAATAAGAAAGGTATAATATCTAGTCTGAGTCTAGAGTAGTGACCGTCATGAGATAATGAATCATTAAGATCCATAATATGTCGGACCACGGCCTCACGATTGGTTGAAAGTCCGATCATCATTGTAGCTGTCTAGTTAATAATTTCTGATTGCCTTTTCTGTTTCTTCATATTAACTTAACTTTTTTCTTTCTTAACTTAGTTTCTTCATATTTACTTAACCTCAACTAGTAGAACTCATTTGCTTGATTTCTTCGTCTAAGTAGAATAAAGTGTTTTGTCATCTTCTTTGTGTATGATATACACCTTCAGAACATAATGCTTTTATATTAAACGCATTAAGATATCAAGATATACTATGTGCTGGTGCCACCATGTCTCACCACTGCTTCAAACCCCTGAAAGTGAGGCAAACAGGCGAAAAAATTGCAAATCCTACAAAGACTTCATCAAACACTCAAAATAGTTTGAATGCTGAATCACATACTACTTCCACCTTTGTTGCCAATGAAGATTCAAGTACCTCTGATGATGATGTTACTGTGACGCTGAGTACCGCTAGGCCACATAACGACAGTGAAAGTGCACTTTCTCAGAGACCTGTGAGTAGTTCAAAACCAAAATTATTGCTTTCCAAGTTTGACGTTTTCCCAATTCAATGCCAATCAACAGTAAGAAGACCAAGGTATTAGAAACCTAAATGTACAACATTTCAAAAATATTCTTCTTTTCTTTATTAAATGTTAGAAAGTTAGTTATTACAGAAAAATTTTAATATTGCATTTGAAACCAATTGTAAAGTGAAGTCAGTGAGTTTTCTGTACTATGTCATCTGCAGAACATACTAATTATCAGCCGATTTCTAATGGATTGACTTCATAGTTTGAGTCTCGCAAATGAAGTCCACTTTATGTAAGTGGTGAACATCAAAAATCTTAAATGATATGGAATCAAATTCGCCATAAATTTCTTCCATGATAACCCACCTTCAGGACAACTTGTTTTCGTTCCACAAAACATATTCAAAAGATTTCATATAATATTTTCCTTTTATTTCTTGCTTTCTATTCTCCAAGAGTGAACAAGAATCATATCTAAAACTTGTGTTTTTCAGGATACTCATTCTGAATGTACTGCTGACATAGAATCTTCTGGTGACATAGAATCTTCTGGATCTCTATCACCAATAACAAATCGGATAGCTGTGTCTGAGAGATCATATTCCAGCATCAAAATTCTGTTTCCTGATGAATGTGTTCCATGCTTCGTAAGTCACATTGAGGATCCTTGCATCTTTTTTGTGAGACTTCGAGCAGTTGATGGAGAGGGTCAAGAAGCAGTACCAAATGATGTTCTTGAATGGCAGAAGATCATGCTTCAAATCCAAGATGTTGCAAAGAACATATTAGCACCATTGATGTATGATGATATCAAGGCTGGTGAACCATGTCTGTGTCGGTACATTGGAGATGAAAAATGGCACCGTGCCATTATTTTATTGACACCTCAGTCTCCACAATCAATTCCTGTACAATATGTGGATTTTGGTACAATTGAGAATGTGCCACTTGGACGTCTTCGTCGACTTCCAGATTGCCTACTTGCAATGCCTATCCGAGCGTTTATGTGCCAGCTTGTGGGCGGTCCTGTGTCAGAGGCTGTATGTGCCATTACCGTGGTCGAGGAGTTTTCCAGGAGTGTCGAGGGTCGAGAATTGTTTGCTAAAGTTTGTGAAAGTATGGAGATTGAAAACGAATATAAGCATTTTTTGAATATGTACTCAGTCTCGCTTTTTGTGCGTGATTCTAACGGTACATTATTGGATATAGCAAGTGATAATACATCTGTATAAGATGATTTGGACTTTGGCGAAAAGAGAAAAGAGCCTCAAGCATGAACACGAGAAAAAAACTGAATATCATTTCGTTCCAAATTTTATCACTGTGAGATGTGACAACTTTGTGTACTTCATTTTTTACATGTGTATAGTTTATGACTGAAAGTTGGTCATTTTCACAGACTTCATCACATATGCCACTCAATTTTCTTTCTTTTTTCTATTTCTTTTTTCATTTGAACTCAAGTTTTTCAGTTCTTTTCGGTATTATTTGGTAATCATATTGCTTCAAGCTGTAGGTGATTTTATGCTCAATTTCATTACTCAACACGTTTCTTTATTGGGAATTGTGCCTGATTTATATTTGCCCGCTGGGCTGAGAGTTCACCTTGGGATTCACTAAAACTGAATGAATGCGAGTTTCTGGCATCAAACAATATATTTTAATTTGTTGAGCGTTTCATTTTGTCGAAATGTTAGTCAACGGGCAACTACATATACGCAAAAAGATTGCCGACTCATTGATGATTAATTACTAGAGGAAAAGAAAAGACGTTAGGGAGTTTTTGACTTGTCCTAACTTTTATGTGATTCACATAAGTGGAAAATAGAGAATCACACATCCAAATATTGATATAATAGCCAGAAACCAGCCATTGCTTAGATTGTGGTTTTCAGGCGTATATGACTAAACGACTTCAACTGGCACTGGTTTTGAGTGCGGGCAGTGAAGCATAGAGCACTACATGGACCATACATTGGGCGCACCGGCTGATAAAACGCACGATCGATTTTGTAAAAAAAGGGAATTCAAAGTACGGTATTCGTAATGTAAGAGTATATTGAACAATTTGTATAGCGTATTTTACGGACCATGTTATAGGCATATTGGATTTATTTTAATACATAAGGCGCATCGGACTGAAAAACGCAACAATTTTTAAAACTATACACGTACTGGTTTTGAGTGTAAGCAATAAAGCACTACCTGATCCACACATTATGCACATGATCGATTTTTGAGGTGAAAGTTGGGATAAAGGTGGTACGTAAAATACGGTACTAAACAGGGCGCTAAAATGAATACTCAAATTTCTAATGAATACCAAAATAAAACTCGGAAGCCAAATTAATGGTTAGTAAAACTTATCGTGACGGTAAAAGTGCTTATCTAAATAATATTTCAATAAGTTTCTAAAATATTGAATGAAAAAATCATAGAATGCTTATTATTTTTCAAAATATACACTCAGACTCTCCCAATCCTTGTACTATTTCTCTGCTTTGTCCACATATTCATTTGTCGTTGTGTATTAAAAAAATAAGAACACTGTTAATGAAATTTCACTTAAATAAAATAATTTGAAATTTAAAAACATCAAATCAAATAAATTTATTAACATAATAATTATGGTATGAAATTTCTAATTTCATGTTTGCATTTGCAATAATTTTGTGAAAACTTTCTCTCGCTTTAGCACTGCGCATCGTGTTTCTTTTGTAGGTTCCGTATACTTAAAGCCGACGTAAATTTGGATTATTTTATCAAAAACTTGGAATATATTTATATTTTAATCATATTTAAATTTCCTTGAAAGCCTATTATTAATACTATAGTCAGGCATAGCTTCGGGCTATAACACAAAAATGTCCCGACAAATTGGTAAGTTCTCGCATCATAGTTGTTAGGGACTAAGAACCGTTGTTTCATCAATTTGGAGGAAAATCCGTTATCTTAAAACTTGATACAACTTGGAACTCACTTCAAACTTCAATGTCTTCGATATATACAACTAGTAATTCTTATCCTCTCAGCTCTAGAATTCTGGTATATATACGGAATATCATGCACTACATATGATATTTTGGTGTATGGACCTGCAGTCGGTTATGGCTGCTACTCACGTGTTCAAGGATATATTCAAAATTAGATTTCATGAATTCGCCAAAACTACCTTACAGTCAACCTGATGCTTATCCTGTGATTGATATTAGAGTTAGAACGTTTCAAAATAACAATGGCGGTATTCACTAACGCGCATTCCTACACTATAATTCGTTAGTGTCTCAGTAGTGCTTGGTTGCACTACTGAGTGCTAATAGCTTTTCTCATTGTTCAATCCCAAAATTCCCTAAAAGAGAAAGTCACTTCTCATTTTTGCGTCTTATGAACATCGTTAAAGTTCATATTTCAAAATGGTAGTTCTTTTTTAGAAATTGAGACCAGACCAGTGTTTGTGTCTGTCCTCATGAATCAATGTCAAATCATCTAATGGCTCGATTATGTGGTAAATTTCTTCTGATTTTGGTACACAAAAAAGTATCTCTTATCTCCCAGAAAAGATAGCCGGGACTTAAATCATTGCCAACGTATGGTGGAAATCGTTTCTTTGTTTTGACCAAATAAAGCTGATTTCGCCTGAGCGTTTTATCGCCCAGAATTGCGGCGATATGGAAGGATTGCGGCGTATTATGTTAATAACTAAAGTCACTCTTTTCATCCCTGCATTGAACAGGGTGTTCGGCTTTGCAGGTCGGGATAATATTGCTTTGTCGTTGACAACTGTAAAAACTTTTCAACATTAGTTGAGATTCTCGGTCGCAGAGTATTTCATCCAGTTGGAATCTGCTTTTGAGTTTTAGCTCATTGAGAGTTTTGCCGGAGACTTTTTTATTCCCGTAATAAGTGTATATAGTAATGGTAACTCTGAAAAACGTCATGAACAAAATCTCGATTAAAAAATTCTTAAGTAAATTTTAGCTTTTTTAGAAAATGTGTACTGTTTGAACCTTCTGCTCAGTCAGACCATTAGAATGAGGATATCTTGAACCATGACTAAATTAATTGTCATGGTTCAACAAAAATAACTGGAAGTATTTCTATTATAATGGCATATTGTATGAAAAAGCTTTTCTGGTATACATTGTCTTGCAAAGTATTTTTTGCAAATATTCTTTATACAGAGTGATCCAAAAAAATGGAACCTGTAAATTTGTTAATAACTTCTACCTACAAAAATGAAAAAAATTCATTAGATATTGTTTATGCTTCAACGTCCGTTTGTGAATGATTGTACCCGGTGATTCCAGGAATCTTGGAGGCTTTGCACAAAAGTTATCTACGATCTAGATCTAGAATATGTTCCAAATCACCTCCAAGCATAGGAGACAGACTTGCACGCGTTGCACAAAATCGACAAATCACTCAGACGAACTCCTACATGGGGTATTTTAAATCTGTAAATGTTGTACTCTCTTCCAGCTGTTGACCCAATTTATTTGACATGGTCTTTTTAAAGTTATTTTTTTTGTCAACCCCTAAGCCCTAAAGCTTCTCTTATGGATTTTTAAAAGCGTGTGCTAGAGTTCTATTCAGCAATATATCTTTAAAACACACTCCGAAAAAAAAAATTTTTTGCAAAAATATCTCAAAAATTTCTAAAAATAAATCGGACTTTGTGAAATTCTGTGTACAGTAGAGGGTTAATAATTAATTCCTAATTAATTAATTTTTTTTTCAACGTTTTCGTCAAGTTTTTCTTAACACAACATCACCGAAACGCCTATTATAGCATAAATGGTTATTACTCTGAAATTCACAATTGTATTTACAGGTGTATCAAGTTCAAGGCTAAAATTACTGATTTTGATGACGTCACAGCTCTTATTATTACTGCACAGACCACCCCCTAAGCAAAAAAATTAAATTTTTTCGACGGAAATGCGCGTAGAACGGCGTAAACAATCCCATACGCGCATTTACGCGTTAAAATTACCATTAATTTTACGGTTTTTTTAACTACAAAAAATCTCCATACTTCTGCCAACTATGGAGCAGTCGAAATCATATTTATCAAAACAACACAGCGCCAGGGATGGTCAGGGATAGTATATATGACTGAAAATACATGCTAAACCAACAATAAGTCATTATAAAGGAGTATTTCCTGTCTGAGCTGAGTCGACATTTTCAGACGTCTGACAGGCGATTTTGAAATCCACGCTATTTATAGCATTCGCCCTTTGCGTCACGGCTGGAAGGTTCTATCGCTTCTCTCATATCAGGCGAAACGTCAACAAAGGGCTAAGAGCGATATTAACAGTAGTTTACCGAGCACAAAATTAAGCGTAAATATTCTCTCATATGAGCTTAGCCGCTGGAAAAGGGTTAAGATCACAAGCAGTCTTTTTTTTATATATATCTTTGTTCGGAACGAAACCAAAAAAGATTGAGCCATGCTTACGGGCGAAAGTTTATTTATCTTCAACCAATAAACCACTCTATTGCAATATAGGCACAAGACATACAAATTGCAATAAATCATAAACAAGCCGTATTTCAGGGTGAGGGAGACGCGGAAAACCAATACCGGTTATCGAGCAGCGGCACCGCTAAATAAGTCTAACGGGAAATTATAAAGAAGAAAATGTCAAACTAAGTATATGTCAATTGAAAAAAAAATACCTCGAGACGATCTGCTATACCCAGCTACTGTATAATTAATTAAAGTCGGAGCAGATTCGTCTCCTACGTTAATGCTTCAACGAGCAAATAATCAAAGATGATGAACATCATTTACTATTATTTTCTTCATGGTGGTGTTTGGATTGTTCAAATCGTCATTTGTATATATATATGCAATCGGTATCTTGAGTATCAATGCTGAAAATTTAGTATTCCACAGAACTTGCAACTATGTTGAAAAAGGTTCCATTACATTTGAACCCACGACAATTGCACCTGCATACTATTGCACCTATGAAAATTTTTTTGTTTTACGGATATTTGAACCCATACTAACTCTAACCCATGGGTTTTAGCACCCGCATATAGATTGAACCGGCGGATATACAAATGTCGGTCACCGTTGAAAAAGAATGCTGCGACATTGAGCGCGAGAAATCTTGCCAGATTATTTTAGCGATGCACAACTACCAAGCTCTGTCAGACTGCACTTTATTCATATATATTAGGCGCGCTGTAGACGTTGTCATACGTATACATATTGAGTAGCCTTTTACAGAAATGTCGAGTTACGATAGGACTAATAGGATATGTTTTATTTTAGTCAACTCTTTGTATTTATTGATACCAATTTCAGAATGCACAATCTTCGACGTAATTAATCGTACTTCATCAATCGCAAGCGTACGAGTATAAGGAATCTACATTATGATGATCTGGATTCTGGAAAAATACTGAAACTCGAATAGTAAATCGTATCAACAAAACACCTTATCTGGCATTTCTTCATGGTGTTAGACGGTTATCGTATTGTACCATGAGTTAGAAACATGTTCGGACTAGCACTGATGATTACCTTAAAATTAGACTAAGGGTACTCAACGGAACGATTGTGCTGGAAATTCCGCAATGCGGCTGACGTCATCTAAGAGCCCCGATCCGAATAAAAACTTGGGGGTTCGTTTTCGTTGATAAACATGTTGCTGTTTATTAGACGTGGTTTGATAAGTATGTAAGAAAAATACCGATATTCAGCCACTGAAGCAATCAATATATTTAAAATAGGGGTGGTCTTACTCTTCAGCAATAAATAATTGCCACATGCATGTTGAAGAGAGTAGTCTTGTGTTGGATTTATTATCCGACCCTCTTCAGTCTTTTGTATTGCGATTCAGAGGGTAAGAATGTATTATTTCGTCAAACAGAAAACGTAATCTGATTAGGAAGAAGGAACCTCCTTAAAAATATTTCACAAATTATGAAATCATTATCACAAATATTATTTTACTAGTATATAAATTCACATATTCAATATGTTCCGAACCTTTCATGTATGCCCATACAAGTTTAAATATATGGGACAAATAACCAAGTTCATCAACTATAAAAGGAATATCAGAAGAAATATTTTTAAATGTACACAATGGTGGTGAGCGTGATAGAAATTTCGAGCACTGCTGTTCACTTAAGCAATATAATTCCTAGGTTGAAATCATACATGTGTATGATTCAGTATCTTATTGAAAATAGCACTTTTGCTTTTATAATCATTATTTGTATATATATATATATATGATGTGTTTCATGAACTCAAATTTAAATTTTGATATGATGATGTTTTGAAAACGTCAGCATATCATTCCGAATTCTAGGGCCTATGACTTGATTTAATTTTGAGCAAATTTTGAATTTGTTAGATAAATAAAAAATGCTCCCACAAAACTACAGTCAGTAAAATAAACATTGAAGGCCTCTGGCAACATATTATTCCTGACTTGAAACATTAATTCAGTAACTTCGTAAATATAAACATCATTTAATTTCCGGACACCTTTAAATGGGAATCATACTATGATGCAAAAGAGTATTGGTCGTAACTCCAAGATTTTGTAATACAGATAGAGCAATAAAACCAATTTTTTCAGCGGGGCCTCAAGCTACATACAGCAAAGGCTTGGAAAAGAGAGATAAATGAACAGTTCGCATGATTCTTTTAGGAACCAAATTTTTTAACGTTGTCATTATTCCTACAGCCCTAGACGGTTTCGGTTTAAGGGAGTTGAAGTGGTGATCCCATTTAAGCTCGTTATATATATATGTAGGTTCACCAAATCATTTATATATATAGATCAGAAATAAGGTGCTAAATGCAATATTCTGCCATTGTGTATTTTTATTCGTGTAACATCTGATAAAAAAATTGCCGGAGAAATCCTGTCTTTTCGATTGACCATGGATCTTCGAATAATAGAATTCCTACAATTGGCTCTGTTGTTATGAAATGTGTTTTCCGTAATGTCCCATATTTGCTTAAAGTTCAAGTTGTTGATAGAAATATCATATATACCAGGGATGGCGAACCTTTTTCAATGAATGGGTCAAAAATTATATTTTTATCGCGGAACAGAAGAGAGTGGGTCACAGATATATGATCAATGTTTGTTTCTATAAGAAACTTCTGAAACAAATCTTTTAGGCTTCTGTTGGTGTAGTTTCAGGCTTTACTTATGCATCACTTCTATCAGGGACTTTTTATGGCTCTCGATTTTATGAAATTAGAGTACGAAAACACGCATATGAATTACCAAAAACGTTTAGGATGATGCGGTAAATTATTTTACGGTTTCATAGAGTTTGGAGAGAATCCCACCCTGACAGTGTTCTATTTTTCGATCAACTTTCAACCTCATTAAGGCACTTTTACACTGCCCCATTGTTATTTCAGATTTCTAGGCTTTTATTTCAAGTCTGAAAGATTTTGTTCTCTTAACGGTATTGTGGGCGAGGAACTAATAAAATACAAAAGTAGCATCTAGTTCTCGCATAACCCCTAAAACAGTCTGCAGATAAACTTCCGAAAGAGACCAGACGTAGCGACAAATGAACATATCAGTTGCATTGTTATGTCATAAACGATGTCAGAGCCAATAGCTGAATAATGGTTCACAGCGGTGCAAACATGCGTCCAAGATTATGGGTTTTAAAATTACCTACCGGCCCGAAATTAACAATTTGATTATGAGCTCTCGCGGCCCTGACTGCCCAGCTGACGGTAGATTATAATAGTTTAGGTATTGTTAAATTAATTCAAGGCCGGATTTATCAATTTTTATCACTGATATGTTAGCATTTTTTTTATTATTTTATTCGTGCCTTGGCGGGTCACGAAGAAAACGCGGTGGGTCACTTTGTAACCTGTGGGTCAGTGGTTCGCCATTCCTGATATATACCTATACCTATTCTTGGAATCAACGATTGTTAAAATTCCAAAGTGTTTCCTATGTACGTTAATCGGAGTCCGTTCAATAATACGTGGAAAATAAGTTTTCTGATCGATTTGATGGATCTGAACTTCGATCTGATGCACAGCCTGGGATCAGACCTCTCAGATAAAAAGAAATAGATAGAATGGTTGCAAATATTACTACTTACTAAGTATTTGTCAAAGATGGGTCAAATATGTTGAAGAATTCGTTTTTTTTTGTAGAAATCACCCGCAACTGATACAAAAACGTGAGATTTCATTCATCATTCTTCTGAAAGAGAGGGTGATCGTACATTTGAATCCACGTACATTTGAACCCATGTGTATATACGCGGGTTCAATCTATATGCGGGTGCTGAAACCCATGGGTTAAGATTAGTATGGGTTCAGATATCCGTAAAACAAAATTTTTTTTCATCATGCAATAATATGTAGGTGCAATTGTCATGGGTTCAAATGTAATGCAACCTGCATATCTCCAGCGTACTTCCGACATATGGAAGTATTTTAGTAAAACCGATTCCGTTATTAAATATCATTTATGTGACAAAACTTTCATTTATATGCGACATTACTTTGATATCATAAAGAGAAACAGCATCAACTACGCTCAGGAGCTAATAGCTATATAAGTTCAAAGTGCGTCAATCAGAGAGTGTATTCAACACGCCCGGAAATATTATCACTACGTTCGTCACTACTTCGCGAAAATGTTGATATGCAATGTTTAATTCCTTGGAATTAAACGCCACGGGAGATAAATTTGCGATCAACTTACATCTGTGAAGAAATTGTACCCGAGATGTCAGTTAATGGTAAAAACAAATCGTAACCGTTAACCACCTGAAATTGTTTAACTAATTCCAGCCCTAATGGCAAGTGATTTTTGATGAATATTGCTACTCCGTCTACATCATGATATCTAGCAGATTGCTCTCAATAGGATCGGTATGCAAGTCACTGACTTGACTGTATATCCATAGCACACAGCTAACACTATCGAACATCAAACGCGCTAAAATCTCTACTTAGAAGCAATTAATAATTTCCGTATATTCTTCAATTCACTAATCACAATCAACGGCATTGCCGACACCCACTACAGCAGGGGTCACCAACCTTTATAAAGCAGCGGGCTACTTTCTGGGTAAATTAATAGATGTAGAATACTGATAAGTGCCGTTATGAGTTATTTTAAAACAGATCTGCCGGCGACTCATATGATCCCTGCGGGCGACCCCTGCACTACACCATAATTTTCTGGTAAAACGACTAGAAACACCTTTCTGAACAATATTACTTATGCATGAATTTTCAAGCATTTCGAACACTCTTACTGCTTTTCAAGATGAACCGAAAACAGATTTAGATCACAATCTTTAGTTTGCTTACCAACCTACTGAAATGCGCAGGAAGGAATATGAAAAACACCGGTTCTGCGCGCAAGTTTGTTTTGGATTTTTAATCCAAAAAAATGAATATATTCCTGCCACATGTGCCCACAGTGCACATGAGCAAATGACTGTCCAGCCTCGAGAATCACATTAGTCATTTCAGACATTACTGGATGCAGCCCCTTCAGCCCGAAATCCACAAATACATAGAAAAAGCAATATTTTCTGTTACAAACATATATTTTGTTAAGTGATCAGCAAACACATTTACAAACCGCATTTAAGGATGGCAGATATTCAAGTTCTTCTTCGTCAATCTTGTGAAACAATCATTGCATACATATGCAAATGATAAGAATTTTGTTTCGAATGACAGATAGAAATTGCATGGTCTAAATTGTTTTAAAAATGTTTGCAGAACAAAAAGAATTGAACCCTGCCTCCAGACAAAGTCCGTCAACTCAGACACTGGCAGAAACTTGATCTTATTTCCCATCAGATAACGAACCATAACTTCTCTCTGCTTGGATTGGTGGGAGATTCCAAACAACTTTGAACGATTTTATAAAGTTGGGAAATGCATTTTTGTACTAATCTAGTATGCCACCATGCACCCATGACCATTCTGCTCGTGGGCAGCAGGCACTAAGATACAATTGCAAGTTGGCACTGCTGTGAGAGATGAATATACAACAATGATCAGATATTGTACAGCAAACCAGATGATTTAATGTTGCGTCCATTCAATTGTTTTCAAATCAATTCCTTCTTGAGCCATCTCCCACAATGGGCTTAATTCCCTTAGTCGAGTAACTTGATCAATAATGTTATCCGCAGCATAATCTATTTCAGCTTCTGTAGTAAATCTTCCAATGCCAAACCTAAAATTCATGTACAAATGATGAGTCGTAAGCCTTTTTATTGCCGAAACAGTATCACATCCCAGCAGTTAAAATTTCCACATTATGCACTAAATCAATAACACATCGAGAAATGGACGACAAATTAAAAATCAATGCGTTGGGTATTGCTGAGCGAAACGCAATAATTCGCATTTTTATTTTCACAGAATTTCAAATTCAAGATAATCTAGTCATTTGAACATTCTCATATCTTACCTGATTGAAGAATGTGCAAGATCATCATCTGCACCAATTGCACGTAAAACGTAGGAAGGTTCAAGAGATGCAGATGTACAAGCACTTCCTGATGATAACGCAACATCCTTTAAAGCCATCAATAAACTCTCACCTTCTACATAAGCGAAAGAGAGATTTAAGCATCCTGAAAAAAATAGAAATTTTATTATGATTAGGATGGAATTTCATAGGGAAAGAGTAAATCAGCAGATTAATAGCAAAATGTGCCAACATCTTATAACAACGCATCAGTGCCACTAGTCATCTAACAATTGAGAAAATAAAATATAATTGGAATATATAGGAAAACAATATGTTTGTCAGGCGGCATCTAAACTGTGATAAATTTTGCAAAATATACCGTTAGCCTTGGTTGAAGAACCAATCTAACAAAGCAATCACAGCCGGTAACTGAAATGACAGAAAAATGAAAGTTACCGAAGAGAAATCCAACCAACAAGATGTACCTTATTTGAAAGTGATTATTCAAAACAATTTGATACCTGGATAAGTTTGGTTAACATCCCCATTCCGTATCACATGTGATAATTTTTCTCGTATTCTTGATTCTAATCTATGTGACAAATAACTTATTCTTTCATGGTCATATTCCATTTCTTCTTGACATAATGCACATGCTGTACCGAAACCTATGATTAGAGGTGTTGGCACAGTACCACTTCTAACTCCTCTCTGTAAAACAAATTTTATTCAATCTTGTGTAAACGGTATTTTGATGTTACTGCTTTAAAGTGTTATGGGACTTGCATAAAGCTGTGAACTACCTGTCATATTTAGCTGTTGAGTTGCTAAAATGCCAAAAATTTAATTCAAAGTCTCATTTTATGAAAATTAAAAGATTGTTGTTTCATCCATCCTTGAGTTGGGGGTAGAAATTTAAAATTATCCCAGACCCCATGGTTCAGATATAACCATTGGCTCCAAGTATTGCTACCCTTAACATTAACAATTGGCCAAAAATGATCCTCGAAATAACGTTACATTATTGTTAAATGTATACATACCTCTTGGCCACCACCACTTTGAAGAGGTTCCACTCGGACACGAGGTCTACGCCGTAAAAACAATCCGCCAACACCTTTCGGCCCATAAATTTTATGTCCACTTATTGACATTAAATCTATTTTCATTTCATTCACATCAATGGGAATTTTACCGACGGCCTAAAAATAAAACTATAATAAAGCTCGATTTTTAACTACTTTTCTACAAAAAATCATAAGATTAATGAATTTTTAATAATATTTGCTGAGGGACATATTTCAACAGTGTAACAATTCTATAGCAAAAAGTGAACTATCAATAATAATTAGCTTAGGTCTTATTAAACAGTAGAAAATTATCAGATTATCTCCACTTTGTCAATATTTATGACCTTGTCAGCTGGCTTGAATCCTGTGATAAGTGATTTTTGTCCATGATTACTAGAACTCATTGAAACCAGTGTTTTTCCTTTAATAAGGAAAATATGTAATGTAAATCATATCCAGTTTCGACATTTGAATCACTGAATTTTACACGTCATATTCCAAAACTGAACAATAAATTAAACTTATCAACATTGAAGAAGAATATGATTACTTATTTGAATACGAAAAAAACCTGTGCAGCATCTGTGTGGAAAAACACTTTTCTTTCTCGACACATATTTCCTATCTCTTCAACTGGTTGCCGTACACCAATTTCATTATTTACCATAATAACCGAGACTAGAGATGTATCGGGACGAAACGAACTCTCCAAGACATTTAAATCAATAATCCCATTTTCCTGTATTTATTTAACAAGTTTAACCAGAATATCATATATAACATTGGTTCAACTTTAAAAACGGCTAAACAAAATGTTGAAGCTTGATTTAACTTCATCAACATTGCCTATTATTAAATTCATATGAACAATGATGTATGTACAACTATAAAAATCAACTTGTGAATGTACAATCTTACATAGCAAGGCTATTCAGCTGTTAATACCGAATATGTGTGCACATACCTAAAAAAATTACTAGCTTATAGTTCATAACATTTTTTAAAAAACTTCACAAACAAAACTTCAAATGCATTATTTAACGAAATACTTCAACATTATTGATCGACCATTAGCGGGAATTATTACATATCCCTTTTTTGCCAAGTTTTCAAAAATTGATTCTAAGGAAATGACAGCAAGGTAGAGGCAATTCACTCACTACTAAGTAATAATGAAATGAAAACAATTTAGTGTCTTTCACATGGCCTTAATAAAGTTATTGCAGACACGTCTTTTGTTGTTAATCATACAGACTATGAGAGCATCTTATGTGCTAGATAGTGAATCAGCTGCCAGGTTAACAGCAAAAAAAATCGTGGAAAACTGAGTAACTTATCCAACTTTAACACACAGTTCTCTGGCAAGTGATTATTCCCAATAAAGACAGAAAGGATAAAAGGAATTTTTTTTCCGAAAACTATTAAAGATTTTTTTAGCAAGGGGAAACTTAAGAAATCACCCATCTCAAATTTATAGAGCCAATGAATTGAATCGAACACCCAAAAGTTGATTTAACAGTCTTAGAAGATGTGCAAGATCATTAAAGTATTGCAAATTCTGTGATAAACAAACCTAATTCTGGAATATTCCATATTCTGAGCTACTATTCAAAGTGTATTTGAAATAGCAAATTCTTTCATTTACTGAGCTCTCAGAAAGTAAACAACCAGCTATATTCTAATAATCCATTCTTAGTGCTTTGCAATATAATGAATGCACACAAGGTCAGATGGACCAATATAAAATTCTAGATATATATATCTTAGAAGAGACAAACCTGCACAGGTAAATAAGTAACTTCAATGCCTTCACTTTCCATAGATCGACATGAATCTAACACACATTTATGTTCAATTTGGGTTGTTATGATGTGACGTTTTTTACTCCTGAATACAAAAACATTTGAAGAAATGGCATTACAAAAGAAATGTATTAAATTAAAGTAGCATATAAGGGGCAGCTTTTTTGGTTATAACATAACAATAGACTACACAGTTGTAGACAATACTCAATTTTAATTTGCTGATAATGTTTAGAGTAAATAAAAGCATTTTCAACTTGTGGAATCGCTATACATTGAATATTAATTATTAAAATATCTATTTAAAACTGGCTGAAACTTCACATTAAATATGTCTACTCACTTATAAAATCGCCCAACTCCCTTTACAGCAATATTATTGCATTCAGTTGCTCCACTTGTAAATATAATTTCACGTGGATCAGCCTATATAAATATATAACATTGTGCAATTACAACCAATTTTGGTTTATTCAATTTCATTGTTCTTCTAAAAACACTTAAGTTAATAATAAGTATAAGTTTATTTTGATTTCCCCGAAATAAAAAACCATGCAAATCAACACAATGAACACACAGTAGATTGGGAAAATCTGGAAACCTCTGATAAGGTTTGAAACATGTAGAAACACATGTGCCAGTTTACCCATATTACACTTGTAAACATATAGGACTATATTGACAAACCTTGCCCTCGTGCATCATCAGATATATCAATATTTTAAATCTGCTTTGGAATTAATATTGGCTAATTTGCACATCTACCTTTTCCCAAAATTTATTTTAGCATAAATATGCAGGTACTGCCTGGTGTAATATTAAAACAGGAATTTAAGAAAGTTAAAACAATTTTACATTTATCAAACTTGCAACTTGTTTTCGAGCATCTTCTACAGCATCTTCCGCCTGCCATCCATATGCATGTGTACGACTATGTGGATTTCCATAGTAACTTACAAAATATGGAAGCATTGAATCCAGCACTCTTGGATCCATTGGTGCGGTGGCCTTGTAACAAGTTAAATATATAATATGCAGGTAAGTTCAGAAGAAATAATTATACATTCGAAATCCTATCCCATAAAAAAAATCCTGATAATAAGAACGGCGCGGGATATTCTCCTTGCAGAATTTTATGTTTTCTGTATTTACTTAGCATGGATTATATTAGGAAAATATCATTTTCCCAGTCCACAGCTAATCAAATAGGAAAAACAATCGAAAAATGAAATTTACAAAATTCATGCAAATTCAAAATTATCTTTAAAATATAGCAACTTTTTCATTGAACATATCACAACTGCGCACATTTTTAGTGTCAAGAATTCAAAAAATTTTTTTCAAATGATAACCGGTAATTCTGGTCAACCTCAGTTATTAAATATGATATTTCAACAAATTCAAGTCATGATTCCACAAAATGAATTGCATGTTCTAGCCATGAGAAAAGTAGCAACTATTTGCATGCTAACATACAACATTTACATATTCACTGGACAAATTACTATTGACTTAAATTAACTTTCCTTGCCTCTGTAGGCTAAACATGAAAAGCTGAATGGTTGGAGTAAATATAATACCTGGTATGGGATGGCAATCATTATAGTTATGTTACCTGAACATCCAAATATACAGGACGAAAGCCAGGTTGCCATTCTCCATGGCCTTTTTCAATTGTAGCTTGAGCAATCGATTTCCTTTCCTGAGTGATATGCGAGGAAGATGATGAGTGTCGAGTAAAAAGTGGGTACTTGTTTGTCAAACTGAAGGATTTGCGCAACAATGAGTGCCTGTGAACAAATTAACAAAGTTAGGGAAAAAAGTGGTCGTTTAAAACTTAGGCAGGGGTGAATGAGCCCTACATTATTCAGTTCTTCGCCTCTCACCCCAACATATCCTCTTTTTCATTGCATTTAATTTTTTGAGTCCAAATTTTAACACCTAATCGAATATGATGGAATTTGATACAGGCTGTTTTGTCTGAGTTTGGCATGTTTTAGAACCTCACTTTGAATACTGTTTTTAATGACAATTGAAGTGAGAATTCCTAACAAACTCAAAAAAAAAGTATGAAGCTAGAGTCATGATGGCCCAAGTCAAGGGGAAGTTCCACAACATTTTTCAAATCACTTGTAACATCTATAGCAGACATAGGCAAAGTCCGACCCACGGGCCAGATCCGGCCCGCTGGGTAATTCAATCTGACCCGCCTGATGCTGCCACAACTAAACTGAAATTTTGATGTTTTAGTTAAAAATAGCTCAAGGAATTTGTTGAGATTGCGGTTAAATTTAGTTTCGGCACGAGGTTTGTTGTTTTCCACTGTTGCTTTTGTAACACTGCGAACATTGTTCATAAAATGTAGTCTGACTCTTTACTTCATACTTACATGGCCCGACAGTCTAGGTGGGCAAAATTTTTGGCCCCTGATTCAAGAACCATGCCCACCCCTGATCTATAGACTAGATTTTGCAATTATTACTGGCAAAAAAAGTTGATAGGGTAGATAAATATGATCTCAAATTACTGTTGTTGAAAAGTCAGCTTTCAACTGCACAATGCTTTGTTCCCATTACTAAACTTATGTCAGTATGTTCCACTAGATCGAATTGAGTAACTGCTTAGGAATATCAATATGATTTAATACAAAGTAGAATACAAATAAATAACCACTGCAAAAACGATAGAGCAATGCTCAAATATCAGAATACCAGCAAAATTCCAGACAAATGTTATGCATAATAATAGCTACCGGTATACCTATATACAGGGTAGCCTATATGACCATTTCAGTACTACTGAACTATAATTAATACTTCTTTGTAAGTCTATCAGTCTATACTTACATGATACTGGACTTTTTTACACACGATTCCAATATATTAAAGTTTGAAATTCCAAAAAAATTGCTTAGTATTCGATTTGGTCTACCTGAACATTATTCACTATTCAGTAGTTAGTATTAGAAGCTTAAAAACTGCAAAAGTAAACCCTTAATAATTGAAGAATAATCACAAAACTATGATGTGCTATATTTACATCTGCTACGTATCACAACACAAACAGACAAAGCTCAGAAGATGCTCTTTTTGACCACTGTTCTCCCTAAATTAAATTAGTTGATTCCACTAAAGAATCACTTAGGATAGGATTTACATATGTATCCCCGGGGAGAAGAAAGTCGATAAGACGGCCTAATCATATGGCAAACTAAGACCTCTCATCCGGTTAAGTTACCAGTCAATGTCGGGAATCTGATATGGGATCAAATGGTCCACACCGGTACCGGTACCGTACCTTTTGCCATCATATTTTTTTCATTGCAGCATTGTTTGCATTAGGTACCGTACGGTACCGTACCGGTACCTAAAGACTGAAAGACAGATATGTGGATATCGTAGCAGGTGGCCCATGTGCTGAATTTTTTTCTCGTCAACATGATCTATTTACATTTGCGAATTTGACTTTCAATTTCTTTCACCCAATTCCCTGCTTTAAAGGACCATTCAAGATTTATAAAGTCTTAGATTAAATTATGTTGCTCAGACACTGATACAAGATACAGGCAGCTCTGCGGCAGCTGACTCTGAGCATGTTAGGCTGTTTGACTGAGAATACTACGCGCTGTGTGTTTCGGTATTTACTGTTGGATTTGTATCGCGTAATATCAATATGATTAAAGCCAATCTACCGGGAAGAAGTTTATGGATAAAATTTTTTTTTTAGATTGAATTTAAAGTTAAATGAACCTTTCCCCGAGCATCGACTTCCTTGTTTACTTCGTGACATTGGCCAATCAGCAAGATGCAAAAAGTGACGTAACAATGCTCCCCTTTCGCATCCGCTCAGACACTTTTCTCACTCAGACAGATTTTCAAGCGTGGTCGTAAACATTACCTCGTTTTCGCGTTTTTGAAATCTATTCGTTAGTCTTCAGTTGTGTTTCGGAAACTTAAATATGAATCAGATAATTCAATGATCACTCTGTCTTCCTATGAGTGTTAATTTAATTGCAGTAATAAAAAATTAGTGTAGAAATAGCTGTGATAGACTAGGCTAAAAAAATTTACCGATACTTTTAAAAAACAGATTGTTGTATGCGATGAATCATAGGGATGGTTTAAAACACATACCCCATTTTACAGGTGCCAACTCGCAAAAGCACTCATAGAATAACCGCGAAAATTTTGCAATAGTAAAGTATAGGAAGAATTTTTTGGGGGTTAAAGGTCGGGGAAAGGTCCATGGTGGTCGATCTGTTACGGGTGTTCTGCGAGGTTTCGATCCTTTACCAAGGTCAGACGAAACGCTACAGAAATAAATTTGTGTTAGTGTGCAGCAAGACTCTTGAATCACTTAGGATAGTTATTACTTATCGATCTTTAGATCGGGTCTTTGTGACATAAAACACCATACCACTGTATATTCGTTCCTTATTCTAAGATCTTTGTTCCTAAATCTTGAAAAAAGAATACAAATTCATTTAAATAACTTTTCATGAATATGAATGGGCCCCCATATGTAGTCACCCCTTCTTCACTCGATTCCGACCTCGAGCCATGGGGGCCGTTTGGACAGGGTGCTACGATGAAACTATTTCAAATAGGGAATAATTGAAACTCGGTTTTTACTCAAATAATGGCGTACAAGTATCTAAATTCAACAACAATCGGTAAAAATTATCAGTCAACGGCAAAGTCGGTGCATTTTTGAGGGTTTCCCATTGGCTCAATTTGACGTAGATTCGCCACTGCTCAAAAGTACTTTTTTGTTTAGTTAATTTCAATTTCTTGTTTAAATTGAATTTTACTGAATTTTTTTGTTAAGGGAAAATGGGGTGAAATGAAGTAAAACAGTGTTATAATGTGAAGGAACAAAAATACACGTAAAAAGTGCGTTCTGAAAATGAAATAAAATTTTTTTTTCTTTAGTTGTATGCTAGTTTTACTCAATTTGTAGCAATTAACCCAAATATGCCAATATTTAAGCAAAGTAGAGTGGAAATAATTGGGAAGCGTGCATACACCCGCACACATAGTGTGTGTAAGAATAAATTGTATATTTCATGAACATCTGACCCTGTTAAACTGCTTTCGATCTTCCACAAATTGTTTTTATATAATGCATTGTTGTTTGGAAATTTACTAAAACACAATATTGACATCGTAGAAATCATTGATATTATTTTCTTCAGCGCTTTTTGCTAGTATTGTGATGTAGAGGGTATTTATTAAGTCCTGACACAATTTCAAAATTTTGTTTTGTTCTAGTATATATTGAAATGCACAGGATTTTTATCAAATTAATCTTAAAAATAAACAGAATTGCCAAAAGCATACCCTTCCACAAACAGAATTAGATAGGATTGACAGTCCATTTGTTACACTTTTATTAGTAAACAATGACGGAACTCAATAATAACTGAAATAAAATAAAGAACAAGAGTTAACATTAAATCACACACTGCACAGTCTACATAAATATTCACTATCTCCCCCCAAGTCTTTTGTGCGCCGTTTCTTAGGAGTAGCAGGGTATGAAAGACTGAGTATATGCAGTAAAATGATCATATTTCTGAGGGATTTAAGTCATGACATAGTCTTTTTGCCATCTAGGAGCATTTCGAGCACGATTCGAACGTCGGGGCATCCATTCAGGTGACGTGTCAACATCTATGTCAGCGTCCGCAGGCCATGAAGGATATTCCACTCCTGCTTTTTTCGGCGGGCTGTTAGGATTTGTGACTTCAGCTTGTGTTTTGTGATCGTTGGCTTCGATCGGTTCGTCGTGTTCCCCCGATGGTGTGACGTCGTTCCCCAAGGGCTCTTTTCTCGTGTATTGTCTTTGAGCAGGTGGGAGCTTACAAAGGATGTCGTTGTCGATGACGCGTCGTGGTTGAGGTCCAATAACGGGTGTGTATTTACGCAGAAATTTTCTGTTGCGAAGTGTCACTCTTCCGGATCCGTCGACTTTTACGGCGTATTGATCAAATTGTCTAACTTCAATTATCAGTCCCGTTTTGTCCCATTTTTTCGGTTCTGGGCCGATCTGATTTTGAATCCTTACGCGATCTCCGATGACTAGTGGAGGGAGCCTTTTCGTGTGTTCCGACCATCTTTCTGCCGATCTCATATGCCGGTTACGAAGAGCTTCCTCTCTGGCTGCCAAAGTTTCACGCCAAGTGTTGTGCGGTTTATATCTTCCGGGAAGAATAGGGATGAAGTCTTTGATTGCGCGCCCGAACACGCACATTGCTGGTGACATTTTGGTGTCCGGGTCCGGTGCGTTGCGGTATTGCAGGATGGCCCGCTGAAAGGAGTCTGTGTCCAGTTCGCCGTTAGGCCCAGTGTTGTTGCAAATAAGTCGTTTAACAGTTTTTACTCCGACTTCTGCACGGCAGTTACTGTGTGGGAATGCCACCGATGATGTACGCCCCATTCTCTCAAAAACTTCTGTGTTGCAGCGGAGGTGAATTCAGGTCCTCCGTCAGAAGCCAGTTCATCTGCAATACCAAATGTCACGAATGTTCTTCGTAGGCTGCTGATAAGTCCTGTCGCACCACCAGACGTCCTTTCGACTATTGGCCAATTGGAGTAACGATCAACGATAACTAAGTAATTGACACCTTTGTAACGAAAAAAAATCGGCAAAAATGCATTGAAACGGATAAGATGGTGTATATGGAGATGTAGGCGGAGCGCATGGCTGTGATGGAGCCATGCGATTGCAATCTCGGCATTTGTTGCGTGTTGTTAAGATCGCTGCTGTAATTCCTGGCCAGAACACGGATGCTTCTGCCCTTGAGGTCATTGATGAAACTCCTTGGTGTGCGGCGTGAAGGGCACGTAGAACGTCTCCGCGTAACGTGGGGGGGGATGACAATTCGGTCTTTGTAAATTATCACCCCGTCCACCGTGTAGAGGTCGTTCCTGAATCTGTAATACTCTCGTAGCGGTGTTGGAAGTTCAGTTCGCTTATCTGGCATTCCCGACTCAATTATTTCGACTAATTTGTTCATGTGATCGTCGCTGGCAGTGGCCAACTTTACCTTTTCCCATGTGACAGTTTGCAGAGCAACAATTGATGAAGCTGCTGCCTCCATGATTGAGGTCTCAAAAGTGCTCTTGTGATTCACGGTAGTGCGAACTTTCTCCATTAAGGTTGATGAAAAAATCGTAGAAAGCTGAGAGGTTTCGTTCACAATAAATGCAATGTCGTCTGTAAGATGCATCATCTCAGGTTGCCCTGTGGGGTGTCGAGAACAGCCGTCAGCAGCTCGGTGTTTTACGCCTGGAATGTGGATCATGCGGAACTTGTATCTCAGGGTCTTTTCCTTGAGATTACGGAGACGTGTATTTGATATTTTGTCGAGTGACCTGTCGCCGAAAATTTTTAACAGCGGTTTGTGGTCTACGGCAATCACAAGGTCATCACAGCCCAATACGAAGTATCTAGCTTTGTCCAAGGCATCGACTACTGCAAGAGCTTCTCCCTCGACTGGGGCGTAGCGTGATTCTGCACTATGAGTGAATCGACTGCCGACTAAAGTTGTTTTCCATCCACTGGGACAGCAAAACGGCTTTGAGTTTATACAGGAGCAATGCTTCTGAAAAAGCCAATACCCGATGCCGTTCTTCGACCAGTCGGTGGCGAGGCATGTTGGCTTCGTTTTGTCGAAAATCTTTACCCTTTCTTCGATCTCTTTTGCTATGGTAGTTTTTGACTCCTCAAATATACTGTTCAGGTCGTTGATCCGGGTTTCAACAGTTCGCGGAATGGCAGCATGCGTTTCGCCATGCTGAATGCGTAAGACACTTGGTTAACGAGTCCAAACCATGAACGGATATCGGTGATGTTCTGCGGAGTTGGGAAGTTAATGATGGCGTTTAGAAATCTCGAGCAGGGTCTTACGCTGTCCATTGTTATTTCAAACCCAGCGAATTCTACGGTATCTTCGGCAAACACGAACTTTTCCGGATTAAGTGTGATGCCATGTCTTCC